CTGTTCCGTTTCCTGTTCCTTCTGATCAGCCAATAAAATTTAATTTTGACTGTGTAACAAGGAACAGGAAACAGGAATGGAACAACTTTGAACACCCCTATTAATTACAATAATTTTGGTAACAATTCTAATCAAGGTAGCTATTTCTACTAATTGCAAGGTTTATATAATTAAACACAATTTCTAAAATAATCATTTTTTTAGCAAATTTTTACGATGCTGAAAATCTATATTGAAATTCATTTGGATCAAGACCCCAAGCTCAAAGAAGGAAACCATTTAATTCAAAAAATTTGGATAATGACTTATTAAATGATGATAATCAAGATTTTTTTGATTATAATGAATTTTAACACAATGATATTATAATAAGATCAAAAATTTTTAAAATAAAATTATATAATATATAATTTATAAATTTTATTTCGAAAGAAATAATTAATTATTATTCCTAGATCTACTTCTTTGGTGAGCACTCCACAAATGATTACAAATTTCATCTCTAATTGATGATCCTTCCAAAGTATCTAAATTATTTGAATTACTTGAATTTAAATGAGTGTTACTGTCATCGAATCCATCTAATTCAGAAATCAAGTCATTTTTTTCCTCACATAAGTTATGTAAAATACATGATCCAATTATGATATGACTTACTAAATCAACTGATACTTCAAGCATACCAAAAAGGCATCTCCACCTATTTTTTAGTTTTCCAAATGATTGTTCAACTTTTATCGTGTTTGTGAATGTTTAAGATTGAAATATCTTTGTTTATCAGATAAACTGCCATTATCACGATATGGTGTTATAAGCCAACTTAGGTTTGGATAACCACTATCACCCAATATATAATTATTAGCAGGGAATTCTGGTGGTCTTCCAGATGTAAATTTTATATAAAGAGATGAGTTTGTTAAAATACGAGAATCATGTGTTGAGCCAGGCCATCCTGTATACACATCCAAAAACCTTCCATTATGATCAACTACTGCTTGTAATACTATAGAATAATAATTTTTCCTATTGAAATAATCAACAGAATAACGTGATGGTGATTTTATTTTGATATGGCTGCCATCTATACATCCAAAAACATTAGGAAATCCAGCCAGTCGTTTAAAACCAGAATTAATTCTTTGAAATTCATTGTTTGACCTAGGAAAACTATATGGAAAGTTTTATTAATTAACTATTTAAATTAATAATTTCAATTTCAAAATCATCAAATATAATGTAAAAATTATTTTTCCCTTACCAAATCTTTTCATTAAAAAATCTTTCAATGATTGCATCTAAAAAATTTCGAAATGCGTAGATTGCCGTTGTCTCACTAAATCCAAATTGTTCACTTAAAGTTCTAAAACTATTACCAGTTGCTAAAAACCAGATTGCAGATGCAATTTTTTGATCCCAAGGCAGGCCAATTGCTCCTGATTTATTATTAACATTACTATTACTATTACTATTATTGTTACTATTACTAATACTATTATTACTACTATTGCCACTACCACTACTACTACTACTATTATTATTATTATTTCTTCTCTGCAAAATAGGAATTAACTCTTCGCACAGATATTGAAAAGTACTTCTAGTGATTCGAAAATGCCTCTTGAATTCTATGTCTTCTAATGTTAAAACTACATTGTTATACCAATGATTACTTTTATCGCGTTTTGTTCGTTTTGTAGCTTCATGAATTGCTACTATTGTTTGTTGTTGTTTGTCTTCACTTGAAGAAGAGGAGGAAGAAGAAGAAGAATCATTTATTTCAGAACGTTTGACGAGCAAGGAAGCATACAATAAAAGTAATTTGATTTTTTCTTTATTATTATTATTATTCATTGTTCAAGGTCACACGAATTAAAGATTTAATTTGTGAGGATAAATTTATTTATTTAATCTTAATCAAATCAAAACAAATCTTAATCTAATCAGATTAAAAAAAAGTTGAATTTGTGAGGACGCCCAATTACAATCCACAAAAAGATTTTGTCTACGAGCATATAAGAACAATGGTGTCTGATTGGTAAGCAATTGGAAAACTCTTGTGATTTATTCTGCATTAGACTAACAAGACAATATTGTACAGGGTTTGACTTCTTGAAATGCAACCTAATCCACTCACTTTAGACATGCCAGAAGCTTGGTATTGCATAAATGTTTGGAGAATGATTGATACTGCATTTTCAGACATGCCCCATACTTACATTGTTGGGTAGGTAAAAAAAAAAAAAGCAATATCTCTGGCTATTCATTTTATTTTATTTTATCAAAATGTAGTGGTGAAAGGGCTGGATTGGCCTCTACTGAGAGAAAAAACCAATACAGGACTTTGCCAAATGTTGGACCAATTCAGCGGAAAGCGATTGGAAAAAGGGGAGATGCATATGTTAGGACAATTGGGTCGATATCAAATGACTGGGCAGCATCAGAAGCAGGACATAAATGGGAGGGTATGTATGGTACTAATCTAATGAAGGAATCTGGGCTGAGCTTGCCAAGAACTTTAAAGGATATTTTCACCCATCTAGCTGATAAGATTAAGTTTACAGAAGAAAAGCTGAGGAAACTGAATGTGGTCAGTTTTATTCATACAGGTTAGCATTATTTAAAGCTTTGCAATGTGACTTTCTTGAAGTTTTAATGACCATATTGTTTTTTTAAAGGCACAGTGTTGATTAGAACAAATCTTGATTGCCCAGATGGGTATATCTGTCGATACACAAGAAGAAATCCACTTGAAGTTTACATGGATGTAAATAATTTTGGTAAATCCTTGGATGTGCTAGTTGAGATAATATATGCAAAGGTAAGTTACACTTAGTTCATTTAAGTTTTAAACTTCTTTTGATACTTGATTTCTTCTCTAGCTCCTAGTACTCCAAACGATGAAAGTTGTGAATGATTCGGTGGATGGTAAAAGTAATGTTACAAGGTGGAAAAAACAAGCAAAATTGGATAGGTCTAATATTACTACAATACCTGATGTCCATCCATCACCAAAAAGATAAATTAAAAAGGCTGTTGAACATTTTCTTTAATGACTAGTTAAACCAATTTTATCACCAATCAAATCATTCCTTTTTGTTGCATTCAAGAAGAATTTCATTAAAAATAAATTATCTACATAAACTGATACTTCATCCTGTTTTTTCTTTTCATTTTCAAAGAATTTTAGACTATTTCTTTAAGATAATATCAATTTCTATTTTTTTCTTTTTCTAAAAAAAATTTCAAATATTTTCTTTATCATTATCCATTTTTATTCAACAAAAAATTTTAAATAATAGTTACAGAAATCCGTTTTTACATGCTATTTCTTTTAGTAAATAAATAAACTTTTTCATTTTTCACAAGGTCAAAGTGTTCCAACAACATATGGTGCCAAACATTTGTTCCCATTTCTAAGGATATAAATGAATTTGACCTAAAAATTTCTCCTGCACTAGGAGCAAATGAATACTATTTTTATTTGTGCAACAGATATTTTTTTCTTCCTACAAAAAAAAAATTTTAAATGGATGTTATTAATGAATTGATAGATACATTATGCAATAAATTAAATAATAATAAGTTAATCAATGGAAACGACTTACTCTCAAATGAACTATTTGTGACATTAAAATAATAGACAATTGTACAAGTTGCAAAAATAAAAAAAATAGAAGGAAATGATTTTGATGAATTCCACAAATTGATAATAAATAAAATAGAAAACCATTTAATTAAGTCAAAAATATATAGGTGGAAAAAGAGAAAAATAATTGATGAATTAATTGATGAATTAGATTAAATGAGGAGATATTATGTGAAGGTTGCAAAGAGAAAAAAATAGAAAAATTAATTGATAAATGCAGGAATAAAGAAATAGCTAAATTTCTTTATCAATGTAAACTAAATGCAAGATGTTATTATGATAGTAATTATATTTGATGGATTCCATTTGATGAGTTTAAAAATATAGAATATTTAGCTAAAGGTGGTTTGGTGAAGTTCATAGGGCAACTTGGATTAATGATTATTATGGACATACTGATATAAAAGTTGTGTTAAAAAGGATATTTAATAATAATTCAAGTGATAAAATATTAGATATTTTAAAAGAGGTAAAAAATTTATTATTAAGTTAGTTTATTACTATTAAACAAAATTCACTGTAAGTATACATGGAGATAAATAACAATCTCAAGGTTAAAGTTTGTTGCCAAATTACTAAATTTGGGAAGTGTTTTACTAATTTTGGACAACAAAATTGATGATCTTAATGATAAATTCCCATGTTCGGATTTTGGGAATTTATTTTTTTTTTCCAGTTTTTTGCTATTTCCTCTAAACTTTAATAATAAATAACCCCCATAAAATAATACTCATATGAAA